TTCTTCTAGCAAATCTGCCCCTCCTAAAGGTCCCAGCACTTCCCCCAAAGAGCACCAACACCTGGGAACCAAGTGTTCAAACATGTGAGCCTGTGGGGCCATATCTCATTCAAATTACCACAGCTCATAAGATGCTGTTTGTGTCCTGGGCTATGCAAAGATGCAGAAGAAACATTCCCCAACAGCAGCAGCTTGTGCTGCCACACAACTTGGAATGCTCTAGAAACGTCACTCAGACCGTCCCTCAAGTTCACACGTTCATTGCGAGAGAGACCTGTTGAATGACACCGATTCCCTTCCATAACTCCCCGAACATATCTGCACGGGGACCAGGGGAACTGCTCACAGCTCACAGCTGGAGTGGTCCTTTCTCTCTGGCCATGATTCCTGTGATGTCACAGAGGCTGTCTGGAAGCCCTGCTGTTGCTGGTCCCACCATCTAGCCCACCCCATGCCATGTTCTCCTGGCTGATTTCGCCCTTCCTGGGCACCCAGGGTCTTCCACTCCCCAGTATCATCCCATTGGACTTTTTCTTTCAGCACTGTGCTGTTCTGCCCACTCCCCATCTTTCCATGGTGCATGCAGCCAGCAGCTATGGCCTCAAATGAAGCAGTACCACCAAGACCACCTTCTCGTCACATTTCCAGGGAGGCCTAGCTCCCTTTGCTTGTTTGTTAAGTCTCTGAAGCCGTGCAAGCATCTAGACTTTCCTGCCACCAACAACAGCACTCAGTGACCCGCACACTGACTCTTGCAAACACCTGCCTTCCATCTCTGCCTTTCTTCCTGTCTCCCTCCAATCTCTACTGCTTCCCTGTCTGGTAACTCTGCTATCTTCTCAGAGGCATTGTGTATTCCTGGCTATAAAACTGGGGGGACTTCATAAGAGAGCCAAAGGATAAAGGGCAATCACATCCCTGTGATTCTTCTTGATCCTAGACAGATGCAGGGTCACAATGTTCAGGACCTGGGTTCCTTCACCACTTGACTTCTGTATTGCCCCCCACCACAGGAGAGGCAAAGATGTAAGAGAGGGTCATGCCTACTGCTTAAAACCTTGGTCCTGAAGTCACGTCCCACTACAAATGGGGCATGACTTCATTACTGAGGCCACCTCGACACCAGGCAGCAGGCCTCTATGGAGCAGGAACAGTAGAAATGAAGCCAAAGCGGCGTGGACAAGCAACAAGGCGAAGCTTCTTTATTGGAACCTCAGCTGGAACTGTCTGACTCAATCCAGAGGGAGGCAACACCAAGCAGAGGTGACCAGACTGTCAACACAGGGCCCAGCAAGCCTTCATTGCCCTGAGGGTGAGGCACCCAATGTTACGTCCTTATCAGTGAATTATGGCCATGATCTTTTTTTCCTCTGACATATGAACATCTTAGCCTTGTTCTTGATGGGCTCTGAGTTATAGCCTCAGTCCTGACATTTCTCAGATGACCAGGAGATCTGTCTGATTGGAGGACACAGAATAACGTAATAGAGAATTCAACCTCGTGTCCTCCTTTAGCTTTCCTTCAGGTGTCTGCCACATTTAGTGGGGCTTTGGAAGTTCCTGAGACAACACGGAGGCAACTCTTTCCATCATCCAGTTATGGAGGTGCTACCAAAATGAGCAGGACTACGTGCAACCCCTCCCAGCGAGTGGGGTTTAAGTTAGCCACAAGCAAGGGAGCCTACTGGATGGATCTGGCTCTTCCTTCAGTAGCTGTTGCTCCTTGTGTTTGTCAGTCGTGTTTCCTAGCTCTCTCGAATCCCACGTTTGAGCTCTGTCTAGCTGTAAGGGGTTCCTGCTCTGTAAACACTCTAGTCTGTGCTCTGGTGTTTATGATAAGGTACTGAGAGCACAGGAAGGACACTGAGCTTCCAACAGGGGTGATGGGTAACACAGTCAACTTGACATGATCTAGAACCAGTTAGAAGACAAGTCTCTGGGGTTTCTGGACTTGGTTAATTGGGGTAGAAACACCCACCCTAAATCTGGGCCACTCCATCTCATGGGTTCGGGTCATATAAGAAAGCAGCTTACGTGAAACTCCATAAGAGGGAGAATGGAACTGGTGTGAGCACTCATCTTCCTGTTCCCTGATGATAGTGCAGTCAGCTGCTGCCAGCTCCTGCAGCCATGAAGGACTGTCCACTCAAACTGCGAGCCAAGGAAACGCCTCCTCCCTTGAGCCGCTTTTGTGCGGTATTTTGCAACAGAGGTGAGAAAAATGGTTAAAACAAGTGATTACAAGGGCAACAAGCTGGGGATCAGAGTTTGTCTGCCGTTGGTCATCTCTACCCTCTGAGCCCTGAATGCCAAGAGGACAGAAATGTGGACCTCACCCCAAGGAGTCAGCCGACAACCTCAGAGGGTCATCAACTCCTCAGCCTTTCAGAGAGGTCCCTCAGTTGACGATGAACACCTACAGCTGCAGCAAAGACACCAAGTCAAAAACTAGGGGAAAGCGGCTTCCCCTGGGGCTCGCTTCCCTCCTCGGGGTGGCAAGGTATAAAATACCCAGGAGGCTGTTGAGAGGTAGCGGATGTACAAACCCTCTCCCTCCACTTCAGGACTCAGAGAAACCAAGGCTTAGAGTGGCCATGCATCACACAGCCCACCAGTGGTCCAGAACTCAGCAAGCTTGCAGGCAAAACGCTTCCCATGGTTTGATCTCAGTAGTCACCCAGATGGATCCTATTTAGAGGCCACTGAGGAAAGAGGAGAAAAAGAACTCAGGGGAAACCACCCAGGAACAAAAGCACGTTCCTACGTAAAGGCTTTGTCAGGGAGTGGGGGTAGGGCCCCACCTACATATCTCACCCACCTGTGGCCCCTCCCTACTTCTCCACTCCAGCCCCTGCATCAATTCTGATGGGGGCAGCAAATTTTCTTGGCTACCAATCGAAGGCTCATCGAAGCCAAGGATCTAAAGGACAAGGCTACCCGATCGCACAGTAGGCTCTATAGATCGGGTGCTTCCTTGGGTAGAAACTGAGAAACAGATGCATGCAATTGATTTTAAAGGTGACTAACCAGCCACAAGCAAGGCTGATTCATAAATTAAGAAGGTACCAAATCCCAGCCCTGGCTGTTTTCTTATTTAAACGGGTGATGGTTTGTCCCTAGACCTGACTTCCCCTTGAACCAAGAGGAAAACTCAGCTCCCCACCCCAGCAACTGCCTAGCTCAACTGAAGGACCAGCATGAAAGCCTGGGGGAGAAAGAGCTCATAAAACTTTCAGCATCTCTGAAATCACTGGCTAAACAAGTCGCCGCAGATAGCAGTTTCTATGCATTTAATAGCAGAGCCCCTGCTAAAATTCCTTCTGCGCTCAGCAGCTCAGGGAGCTTTCCTAATGCGTTGCTAACTGGTACATTCTTCACAAAGGCCATCAGGAAGAAAGAACTCCACATGCCACGGTACAGATGCTCAAGGCTGGAGCAGAAAGCGAACCGAATGTGTGACCACGTGGAGAGAGAACACTTCTCCACGCTTCCTTTCTAACCTTGGCGCCCAGTCAACCGTGAAAGGAGAAGGCATGCACCCTTCCCAGGAAAGTGGTTAAGCCCTAAAATTTGAGCAGTACTTTAAAGGACTTGTTTGAAATTCTCACCCTAAATACAAAGAGTAATAAAGAGGCCGTTTATTACACCAGGATGTTTGATGACATGCACGTAGGTCCATGTCACCAGTGAGATTTCATTTCCCCTTGTGACAACCCCATGAGTTGGTCCAATGGGAATTTTGTGAATGGAGGAACTGAAGGTGTGAATTTGGATCATGTATGTGCCAGTTCAAGCTGCTGGAACAGACAGTAGATATTCATTGTCTTTATGTTCTGCTTTGGAGGCTGGAAGCCGAGGCTCAAGTTGTCTGCAGGGATGGTTTCTGGAGATATCTCTGTCTCTCTGCCACTCTCTGTCTCTGTCTCTCTGTCTCTCTCTGTCTCTCCCTCTGTCTCTCTGTCTCTCCCTCTCCCTCTTTATCTCTCTGTCTCTCCCTCTCTGTTTCTCTCTCTCTCTCTCTCTCTCTCTCTCTTTCTCTCTCTCTCTCTAAGATGGTGTCTTTCACTCTACGTGGCCGTCCACTTGCTAGTGTGTATTCCTGTGTCTCATCTAAAGACAGGAGTTGTATGAGATTAGACCCTGCTCACCCTGCAACCACCTCCTCCAAGTCTTGTATTTGTAACTTTTCTCATTGCTGTGGCAGAGAACACTGGAGAAAGGCAACTTTGGGAAGGAAGGTTGTTTGGGCTCCAAGTTTGAAGGCATGATGGCAGGAGAGTGCAGTGGTTGGTGACGCTGAACTTGCATCCCCCTCAGAGGGAGACAAATGCTGACATTTGTTTGCTTTCTCCTTCTCCTTCTGATTCAGTGTGGGTCTCAGTCTGTGAGAATAGTGCCCACGTTCAGGGCAGAGCTCTGCTCCTCAGTTGAATCTTTCTGGAAACGTCCTTAGAGATATAACCTGAGACATGTTTCCATGGTAATTCTAAATCTAACCAAACTGACCAGATTAACTATCAGAAGCGTCAATCCCTAAAGACAGTCATACCGGAGGTTCAGGCTTCACCCATGTCTGGGGACATAACCATTCAGTTCACATCAGCAGTGAACATTCATACTGGTGAGTGACAGAGCCAGGGCTGTCTGAATCCCGAGACACCGCCTCTCCCATGATTCACCAGGCAGAGTCAGGAGACATGCCACCAGGGAGCGGGTGCAGTGGAAGCTGCTAGCAGAGACCCAATGTCACAGCACTGAGATTCACCCTGGTGAGCTGGGTGGCAAAGTCCCAGCCCGTGCTAGATCTCGGGACCCAGAAGTGTAAATCAACCAACAACCTGTCCAGATGGGGCTGAGTGAAAACGGCTTTGTTAACCTGGGTCCTAAGTGCAAAAGTGGTATTTGGGTTTCCTGCCATAGGTAGTGTGTGAGTCTATCAGCTAAAATAAAATAAAACAGCCTTTCATTTGAACTCTCTTCTCTTTTCTTCAAACTGCCAGCGAATGTCCTGGAAGGCGATTCCATGGACCAGGATGTGGAGAGCCCGGTGGCCATTCATCAGCCAAAGTTGCCTAAGCAGGCCAGGGACGACCTGCCAAGACACATCAGCCGAGACAGGACCAAAAGGAAAATCCAGAGGTATGTGAGGAAGGATGGGAAGTGTAACGTCCACCATGGCAACGTGAGGGAGACCTACCGGTACCTGACGGACATCTTCACCACCCTCGTGGACCTCAAGTGGAGATTCAACCTGTTGATCTTCGTCATGGTCTACACAGTGACATGGCTCTTCTTTGGAATGATCTGGTGGCTAATTGCATACATCCGGGGAGATATGGACCACATAGAGGACCCCTCATGGACTCCCTGCGTCACCAACCTCAATGGGTTTGTCTCTGCTTTTTTGTTCTCAATAGAGACAGAAACCACCATCGGTTATGGCTACCGGGTGATCACGGACAAGTGCCCCGAGGGAATTATCCTCCTCTTAATCCAGTCCGTGTTGGGGTCCATTGTCAATGCATTCATGGTAGGATGCATGTTTGTGAAAATATCCCAACCCAAGAAGAGGGCAGAGACCCTGGTCTTTTCCACGCACGCAGTGATCTCCATGCGGGATGGGAAGCTCTGCCTGATGTTCCGGGTAGGGGACCTGAGGAATTCCCACATCGTGGAGGCTTCCATCCGAGCCAAGCTGATCAAGTCCAAACAGACTTCAGAGGGGGAGTTCATCCCCCTCAATCAGACGGACATCAACGTGGGGTACTACACCGGGGATGACCGTCTCTTTCTAGTGTCACCTTTGATTATTAGCCACGAGATTAACCAGCAGAGTCCCTTCTGGGAGATCTCCAAAGCACAGCTCCCTAAAGAGGAACTGGAGATTGTGGTCATCCTGGAGGGAATGGTGGAAGCAACAGGTAAGACACGCCCCATCCTGTCAGAAGCGCGTTCCGCTGAAACTCTCTGGCGGGAAATGCCGTGCCTATGCGTCCAGTAACCGTAAGTACGCGCTCGGACAGGTTTAGCCATTTCAATTTTCAGCTTTCTTAATTTTACAATATGTTTCTTTTATTTTTGTGTATATGAATGTTTTGCCGTCATGTATGTATGTGTACCATGTACATGCATTGTGCCCATGGAGGCCAGAAGAGGGCCCCAAATTCCCTATAACTAGAGTTAAAAACAGTTGTGAGGCACCATGTGGTTGCTGGGAAACTGAGGCAAAGTCCTCTGCACGAGCAGCCAGTGCTCTAAGCTGCTAGGCCACCTCTCTACCACACTTACCTTTATAAAAGCCATTCAGAAAGCAAAATAATGATTTCTTAAATTTCCAAATACTTAAAGAAATTAGATTTTGATTTTGATATGTGTTCAATGCTCATTTTGAATGATTTTAAAGTGTTTCCCATTTAAATATTTGTAGCTATTTGTTAGCAGGTCAAACAGTAAGAGTTAGACCTTTCAAAAAAAAGTGAGAAAAATGACTTAACATAACTGCTAATTTTGCCCCTTCTTTGGCCCTTGTTCATAAAACCCATAGGATTGTTCGTTTCTCCCCTTGTGTTAGGTATCTCTCCACACTTGACCCGCCCAGTCCTCAGCAGACATCACACTAAGAACTAAAGGCTTGTTCCTGGTAACGCTGCAGACCTTTGGCGGTCAGCACTGGTCATGAATCTGTGGGAAGAGAGCCTGTTCTCAGGGTTCAAGAAACTAGGCTTCCGCTCGTCTTTGCTCACACCTAAGTTACACACATGCTCCACATTCTGGGAGCCAAGTGGGTTCTGCCCATATTCACTGATGGTGTGCACAAGTCAAAAGTCCCGAGCAGAGCTGCAGACCTCCCAGAAAGTGTATAAATCCAATCCCGTTCACCAACTCTGCAGAGTTGAGTCCTTGCTACACAGCCCAGGTCTTCCCAATACACACACACACCACACACACACACACAGAAACCGTCCTGTGTTTGGAAGCTTCCAGCCTCAAACTCTACGTTGTCTGTTGTCACGGGAAAATGTATAGTCTGTGAGCTGGCCCAAGTCTTCATTAACCTGGGATTCTTTTCCAAAGGAAAATCTCTGGTCCCTTGCTTCTGTCTCCCTGTATCCGTGCACCAACAGGAGGCAAAGTCATGATTCCTACCAAGAAGTTCTTATGGGGGAGACGGAAATTTTCCAATAAGTGTTTAAATTTCAGCAAACTGAAAATGTGGAGTCTCTGTGGTGAGCACGCCGCTTCCCACAGAACAAGAGGATTTTAAAGAATAACAAAATACACTTGGCTCTCTGCATCTAAGGAGCCCGTATTCATGAGTTCCACCCACCATGGTGGAGCTCTAGCATTTAGTATCGAATGTTTTCCTGTTTCTTGCCATCATTTACTAAATAATACAGTACAAATGTTTACATGATATTTATGTCATATTAGGTATTATAGGCAATCCAAGACGATCTAAACCATGTGGGTGAGTGTAATGTCTATGAAGACACAGCTATTCTGTAAGAGGGACTTGAGCATTTGAAGACCTGGGTATCTTTGGGGAGTCCTGGGATCATGCCCTCTAGATATGAGAGACAGCTTTGTGTTTCTCTCGCATCCCTGGAGCCAGGCACGGGCCTCTAAGTCTGGTGTGCAAAAAGGAGTGAGAAACTGACTCTCTCGAGGGAGTGTCTCCAGCCAGCACCGGGATGGGAAAGACTGTTGCTTACTTCTGAGTCACAAGTTCTTGGGTCTGTATTTTGAACTGGAACATTGGCTGGAACTGGCTGTTGTGAAATTCTAAATAGAAACTGCAGATAGCAACAGGGCTATCAGCACCTTGGGCCTGAGGTTTTTATTTCTCCTGAGGTACCCATTGATTGGAGCAGAGGGGGGAGAGAGAGAGGAGAAAGGGGAGGAGAGAGCGAGGGAGGGGAAGAAAAGAAAGAAGACGAAGAGAAAGAAGGAAGGGGAGGAGAGGAGAGAGGGAAGAGAATGAAGTGGAAGAGGAGAGTGGACGGAACAAGGGCAGTGAGTACAGAATAGGGAACACTGTTGCTTTCAAAGGGACCCGAACCTCTGCACCCTGGCAGAGCACAGGGACTCAGAACACCCTAGTCGTGTCTGCAGTCACAGATGTGCACAGCATGTGCTGACCATCCCAGAGGTCCCCTGCCCCTGGGCAGACTTGAGGATAGTCCATCGGGGAATCTTCCCATTCCTGGACTGTGCACACAGAAATCCAAGCCTCTGGCTCCCGATGCTAGCCCCGTCTCCAACAACAGCCGCCGAGCTCCGCATACACTCCCTCCCACCCAAGCCCAGTCTCAAAATATAAATGAATCCGAGCAAGAAAATCATTTCTGCACTGTCCCCAGGGCAGACTTTGTCTTCCTGATGACAGCGTGTATGGAACAAGACTATCTGCAGGGGGAAGCATCCTTTTTATGATAATGAACCGCGATAGCTGCCTAGGAACGTCCTGGCCTCTCTGAGAGTTCTTGGCCACACCTGGGTAGTTGCCAGCAGAAAGAACAAACTCTCTACCATTCCTGAGAAAACACAACACTGTGGATTCTCTTTTGTAGTATACATTTTAATATACCATATATAATTAAAATATATTATATTAATATATTGTGAATATATTTTATAATAAATTATTTTTATATAGTAAATATATTGTGAATATATTATATGATAGTTTCTGGTTACTAGAGGAAGGGTTTTCTAGAACATTCTGGAGGTGTCCAGAAGCTGGAGATACATGTCTTGGTCCTGTCCACATGGGTTTTATACAGCTCAGTACCACCCACCACCCTCCCGCCCAAGAAATGAGTCCTTAAACTTCAACAGGACACCTTCTTTGGAAATTAAGATTACAGCTGGGAAAAATTTAAGGAAAGGAAAAAAAGTTTCAATGTTTCAAAGCCACAGAAAGAGAAAAGGGGGCAAACTGGAGGAAAACAGATCGAGAAGGACCCAACTATTCCCTGGAGTGCAGGGCTGGAAGTCGAGGGCTGGAGCAACTACTCTCAGAATTGTCCCCGCTGGGTCAGGGAGGCCCAGTGGTTAGGAGAACTGACGGTTCCTCTGGCTCTTCCGTAGGACCCAAGTTCAATTCCTGACACCCACACAGTGGCTCACAGCCACCTGTAACTTCAGTTGCAGGGGATCTGCTGCAGGGGGTGACGTGTATGTCCCGTTTGCAGCAGAACACGCCACGTCACTTCTCTGTGCCTGGACCATCAGCACGCCCTTTCCATAATGTGTGCCCCAGGTTCCTGGTGACCCTGACAGTTGTGTATCCTGGACCATCAGCACCCCCTTTCCATAATGATGCTGTAGGTTCCTGGTGACCCTGACAGTCGAGTATTCTGGACCATCAGCACCCCCTTTCCATAATGATGCTATAGGTTCCTGGTGACCCTGACAGTCGAATATTCTGCAGTTCTGAGTTATCTTGCAGTGACCTAGGCACCAAGGTCTGGGGTCTCTGGGAGCTCAGCTCGGGAAACAGACTTTGGGGGCAGCACGGACAGTGATGATTTTGTGGGAACTTCATGTTCCAATACCAGCTGTACTACGACTCCAATTCCATCTCAGAAAACGAAATCAAGGGTCATGGGTTGTGGCCCACGTGGCTATCATACTAGAGGCTCTGGGCTGTCCCCCCAGCAACACATAAAACCACACACCCGTAACCCCAACACTCCTACAGGGAAGGCAGAGAGATCAGACGTTAAAGGTCATCCACAGCGACACAGCGGACCCCAGGCCAACATGGGACACGGAGAACCTGTCTTCAGAGACAGGGACTGAAAGAAAGCCCTTCGGAGGCAGGAGGCAAACCTTGTCTATCCTCGGTGCCTTGAAGGGATCCCATCAGTCAGACTGACACCATAAAGGACAGGCACACATTCTCCAAGGACTGTTTTGTCCTAGCCCTGCCTCAATCAGAGGGGTGGCTGTGGTGACCTCTCGGGAACCTTCCAGTCATGTGATTCTATTTTTGAACATAAATCAAACCCTGGAAAATTCTGGCTTCAGCCACCCAGACACCCCAGAGCTGGCTCTGTGTCATCTGCAAATATATTTTTGAAGGGGCCTTTATGTCCCCGACACATGGGCAATTTTGAGGTAGTGGTGTTTACAGAAGGTTTCTTAGCTACGTAAACAAACACGCTCAGCAGCTGTGGCAAAGATGCGTTAAAATAGTAGCGCATTCATCCAGACTGATATTTATAGAGGGCACATGGGCCTCGCAGCTAGATGACAGCCACCCAGCACCGGGCCCTGGGCCAACCAATGCCGCGCTGGAGCCTTTCTGATTGAACTTCCATATTTACCCCCAGCCATTATGCAGGCAGCCTGCCCCGGCCCCGAGCGTGCGCCTCGGTACCCCCCACCCCCAACTGTGCGCCTCGGTGCCCCCCACCCCTGAGTGTGCGCCTCGGTGCCCCCCGACCCCAAGCATGCGCCTCGGTGTCCCCCACCCTCAACTGTTTGTATCTCGGTGCCCCCCACCCCGAGTGTGCGCCTCGGTGCCCCCCCACCCGAGTGTGTGCCTCGGTGCCCCCCACCCCCAAGCATGCGCCTCGGTGTCCCCCACCCTCAACTGTTTGTATCAAGGTGCCCCCCACCCCGAGTGTGTGCCTCAGTGCCCCCCACCCCCGAGCATTCGCCTCCGTGCTCCTACCCCCGAGTGTGAGCCTTGGTGCCCCCCACCCTCGAGCGTGCGTTTCGGTGGCACAAGCATCACTAAGCCTATTTGGGTTTCGGCTTTACACTTTTTATTCTGAAAACCATACGACTGATAGAGAAAAGAGACCAAACAATATCATGACTCCCTGGGTACATGTCATTTGGTTGTGATAATTGCCAATTCAGAACTGAACATGCTTTGTTTGCGTTGTCAGATTCGCCAGCGTTGCAGGAT